CACCCAAGCACCCCTCTAGTTTATCTTTAGGATACATTTTTAGAGGTAGGATTGCTGGAGCTAAGGTTTTGTGCATTTAAAATTCTGATGGCCGGGGCGCCTGGGTGGCTTGGTCAGTTAAGCATCTGCCTTCGGCTCAGGTCATGATCCCAGGGTCCTGGGATCGATCACCTGCATCAGGCTCCCTGCTCAGCAGGAAGCCTGCTTCTCCCTCTCCCACTCCCCCTGTTTGTGTTCCCTCTCTTGCTGTCAAATAAATAAATAAAATATTTTTTTTTTTTTTTAGAGATTTTATTTATTTATTTGAGACAGAATGAGAGACAGAGAGCATGAGAGGGAGGAGGGTCAGAGGGAGAAGCAGACTCCCCGCCGAACAGGGAGCCCGATGCGGGACTCGATCCCGGGACTCCAGGATCATGACCTGAGCCGAAGGCAGTCGCCCAACCAACTGAGCCACCCAGGCGCCCCTAAATAAATAAAATCTTAAAAAAGTAAAATTCTGATAGCCTTTACCGAGTTGTTCTCTAAAGAGGTTGTACCATTTTTATACTCTAGCCAGCAGTATTTGAGAATATTTTCTCATTGTCACCAGTATGGTGGTTTATAAAATAATTTTTTTTGCCATCTCACTAGTTTTAATTAACATTTATGTGCTTTACAACTAACCTTTTTACTGAGCACCTAGTGCTTGTTAGGCATGTAGTATTTTTTGGCCTGTGGGTTTTGTGACATACTTTGAAATGCTTTCCTCTCTATCTAGCTCTCTTAAAGTTTGGTATTTAGAACTGAAGACAGGGGCCCCTGGGTGGCTCAGTCAGTTGAGTGGCCGACTCTTGATTTTTGGCTCAGGTCATGATCTCAGGGTCCTGGGATCGAGCCCCATGTTAGACTCTGGGCTCAGCAGGGAGTCTGGGGTTCTCTCTCTCTCCCTCTGCCCTGCCCCCCCACTCATGGATGTGCTCTCGCTCTCCTTTGCGCACGCGCGTGCTCTCTCTAAAATCGATAAATAAATCTTTAAAGAAAAAAACTGAAGACAATACCCTGGGTTTCTTCTGATCCCAATGGAATGATGGTACATACCATTTATTGAAATCTAATATGTGACAGACATTGTGCTTGGTGTGCTTAAAAAATGCATTATCCCTTTGTTGCCTAAGCATTTATGTTTAATGAAATGGTATACTTTCTTTGAGTTGGTATGTGACCTCTCTCTAGACATATTCTGGTAGTCATGGTCTCCTGAAGTAGGACGTGTCACAGAGAGCTAGCTGAAAAGAAATGCAATTGGCCCTTGAACAACATAGGCTTTAAAGACTCCGATTCCCTGTACAGTCTAAAATCTGCATGTAACTTTTAACCTTCCTAAAACTTAACTAATCGCCTACTGTTGACCAGAAGTCTTACCGATACAGTCAATTAGGTTAACACGTATTTTGTGTGTATGTGTCATATGCTGAGTTCTTATAAAAAAGTAAGCTAGGAAAAGAAAATGTTACTAAGGAAATCATAACGAGGGATGCCTGGGTGGCTCATTTGGTTGGTTAAGTGTCTGAGTCTTAGTTTCAGCTCAGGTCGTGATCTCAGGGTTGTGAGATCGAGCCCTGCATTGGACTCTGCCCTGAGCATGGAGTCTCTTTGAGATTCTCTCCCTTTCCCTCTCCTTCCCCCTCTGCCCCTCTGCTCCCTCGTTTGCGCGTGCGTGCGTGCACGGACTCTGCCTCAAAATAAATAAAATTTTTAAAAAATCATAAGGAAGAGAAAATACATTTATGGTACTGTGGTTATCAAAAAAATCCATATATAAGTGGACCTGCACAATTAAACCTGTACTGCTGTTCAAGGGTCAACTGTATTTGACTCTGCAGTTAGAATCATAATAGTCCCTGTCTTGTGATTGGGTCAGAACTGATTTAAATGGAGTTCCCTCTGTTATTTTTTCTTCCAGGATCCTCTTTTTCTTGCTAACAATCATCAGAGTGTAAAATTATGATTTTGTGTGTATGCTTATTTGCTTAATGCTTGTCTCTAGGCATATTTGTTCACTACTAAATACCGCCTGACATAATGTGTGGCACATAGTATGTGCCCAGTGAATATTTGTTGAATGAATGAACTCGTCACTCTGAGAACTGAGGAGCACTGGAAATTGGGTCGTTTGGGGGCTTAAAGGCCCAGGTGTGCCATTCAGTGGGTTGAAGAGTTTAGTTAGCTTAGTGATGGGCTCTGTCACATTCCCTTCTAAAAGGCTGAGAACTACTTGGTTCTTAGATTTTTCTCTGGACCCTTTGGGCTGTTAGGGGAACTTTGGTCCAAATAACTCTCCGTAAGTTTGGCTGAAAGCTGTGGAAATTAAGAGAATGAGCAAATACTACCTCATGCTTATGGAGTCATGGTTATATTTACTGGAAGCAAAGTGATACCCTCTCCTAAATGAGCAGTTATCTGGAAATTGTGGTGTGGTAGAGCTCTGCTGTGACTAATTTTCTGATATTTCCAGAGATCAAAGTTTGTGTTAAGGACGCCTAAGACACCAGTCTTCTGGCTTTAATGGCCACTCCACTAATCCAGCAAGATGTTTGGAACTCTGTCTGATAACTGCAGTTGGCTTGCTTTTTCTCTTTACTTCTAAGAATTTATGTGAGGATTGTTTAGCATTGGCCAGATAACGTGTTTGGCTAGGTTACTGTTCTCTCTGTTCTGGAGTCTGGCACTCATGAACATGAACTCAAGGGGTGGGGCAGGACCCTAGAGGGGAGTTCAGTGCCTCTGGGGGGAGAAAGAGTGGCTGGATCATGGGTTGGCAAACTGTAGGGTCAGATAGTAAGTATTTTAGGCTTTGCTGGCCGTGGTCTCTGTCACAAATTATTCTTTGTTTTTTACAATTCTTTAAAGATGTAAAAACCATTCCTAGCTAAGAGTCTTAGAAAAACAGGCCAAAGCCAGATTTGGCCTATGGGCCGTGGTTCGCCAACCCCTGAACTAAGAGAGGAAATTAGTTTATAGCAATAATATGTTTAATGTTTTGGGGACATGAACCCAGAATAACCTTGGGAATTCTCAGTTGATTGTGATTTGAAGAAAAGAGATCTAAACTCTGGCATGGGAAGTCACAGTGACCCCAGTGTCCGTCATCTTAAGTCCATGGAACTCAGGGTAACCATGGCTAGTGGGACAGAGGGATTTTGCTGCTTCTTTTCCACGGGAATGCTGGACAAGGGGGACAGGGACGGAAGAGTGGGACAGAGATGTGGCCCTAGAATTAGGCTGGAATTAAACAGGTTTAAAGAATACAGTGACTCAGCAAATTAAGTCTCAGAAATATTTCTAATTTCCTCAGCCTCTGCTGGGATGTTGTTAGAAATCTGGCATGTAGAGTCAGTTTGGCCAGTTTATAAAAATGAAAGGGTAGGTTTGTACCTTGGATTCTGAGAACACCAAATTCTGATACATGAATCCAGATTGGCCTTGTGGTTTTTCTCTGACCGCAAGAAGTTCTGTAGAGCAGGCCTGGCATGAAGGAAGTGTTAATTTATTTCAGGGTAGTTTGGGAGTTAGGAGGGCATAGTGGTTAAAGAGCCTGGGCTGTGAGACAGATCCCCTGCTCCAAACCTACTCTGCTACTTAGTAGCTGTGTCATTCTGGGTAACTTACTTAATTCTCTAAGCCTCGATTTCTTCATCCTGTGTCAAATAGCAATGGTAGTAAGAACTCCACCATAGGCTTGTGAGACTTGGGTGAGGGTCAGATATGTAAAATGTTTGTTATGGGAGCTCAGGGTCTTTCGTGTTGTTAGTATTCAATAAACGTTAGCAGTGATGATGATCGTGTTAAAATGGAAGAACTGGAGGATCCAAAATAGGAACTAGTATTTGTGACTCAGTGCCACGGAATAGCATGTCCTGTTGATTTAATCACTAAATGCGTGGGAATGTAATGGGAGCAGTACTGGGTTAGGAGTCTGAAGAACTGGATCTGTCTCTGTCTGCCTTTGTTTCCTAATTGGTAAAACAGAAATAATACTGTTGACAGGTTATGAAAGAACCTGTGAAGAGGCTCTACGAGTTCTAAAAAGGTACTGGACAAAATTTAAGGTAAAGGTAGTAACCTGCTTATTTGTTCAATTTCTCAACCTTCTATAAATGTATAGGAGCGGAGCCAGAAGGTGATTGGTGTGAAGCCACAGAGTTTGCCAGAGATTTGAAAGGACGTTCCCAAGTGCAGGACTTGCATTGGTAACTTGTGGTTAGAGATAAGTAATATAAAATTGAAATACTTTTGTAAGGTATTTAAAGTAGTGTAGTTCACGAGTGGCTATGTTAATTGGAAAAAGCCAATTTGAAAATACGATTCAGACTGAGCCACCCTGGCGCCCCTATGGTATAGTCTCAAAGTTGAAAACTATGCACCTATAAAGAGAGGGAGCCGTGCATGTGCTGATGGAGTACTCTTCCAAGATATGGTAAGCTAGAGACACAAAGCCAAAACGCAAGTTGAAGAACAGTGTGCAGAATATGGCGTCATTATTGTTGCCAGGGTGAGGGGGTGAGTAGTAAAGGTAAGTTAGGATTTCCTCACATAAGTGCAAACACCTTGGGGAGAATATGAAGCTGGTAACACGGCTGCATCTGCTGGGTATCTGGGGACAAGTAGGAGGGAAATCTACTTTTTGTAGTATAAATGAAATGTGGCATATATCCGTATATGATGAATCTTTTGTCCAAACTTCTAAAATGTGGCATATATCCATATATTTTCTCTTCAAAAACTTGGCCACAGATGATATCGTTGGAATCGAAAGCTATACGAAACATCTCCGTTTGCTTCCCGCCTCTCCGTCTGCCAGACACCTGTCGCTGTGCCTGCTCCCTTTGACCTTGATGACTCGAGAAGCTGGCACTGACTCTAGGCTTACTCTAAAACAGCCCCCCTCACCCCCAAAGCATATTGATGTTTCTCCTCTTGATTTGTGTGACTGATGGTGTTTCTGTTTCCACCCCCAGCTTTGGCAGCATGTAAGCAACTTCTTGCCAAGAACCCAGGTCACCGCTGAGAAGGGGGCCTTAGGGAGAAGACCGTCCAGAGGAAACCAATGCCAGACACGTCTGGAGTTAACGCTCAGCGCAGGCAGCATGAGACATTCTGTGCCAGCCCCTGGGTCCTGCTGGCAAAGACTGTAGCTCTCCAGGTTGGAGGGTCCTGGAAGCAGCATGCACCAGGAACCTCTCTAGAGGACAAATGGGGCCAGATGTGAACTCTCTACAATGAACACAGTTTTCAGCTTATGAAGGAGTTTTAAGTAAAACAGTTATTTAATTTCCACATATTCAAGTTCAGTAGCCTTCTGTGTGAAGGCCAGCAGTCACCCCCCCTCCACAGAAGTTATCAGGATTGTTCTGGCACCAAGTTGAACTCTTCTTGGTACTTCTGGCAATGACAGATCTTCAGAACAGATTTATCTACTAAATGCTCTTGAGCAGGAAAGAAAGAGTAAAACTTCTAGAAGGAGCGGAAGGGTAACAGAGCAGAGATCCCTCCCTCACTACTCACTTTCACAGAAACTCTGCCTGGATTCGGATGCTTGTACTGAAGATTGGTCCCGCCACATTCACCTCCAAAGTCCATCGGTTCTGGGGAGAGCTGGCGTTTTTGGGCTGCCCCCTGTGGCCCTTTTTACTGTCCTTCTGCCCCCAGGCAGTCGAATGATGTGAACTTGGAACGGGGTTTGCTATCCTTTGGGGACTCGCTTTCTTTCCCAGGCCGGTGCTAACTGACAGGACCATCTGAAGACGGTGGTTTGTTCTTGGGGTGGAGGGCACTGGCCTTGCCTGGATCTTCCACCATGTTCCTGTTGCTGCCTTTTGATAGCCTGATTGTCAACCTTCTGGGCATCTCCCTGACTGTCCTCTTCACCCTCCTTCTTGTTTTCATCATAGTCCCTGCCATTTTTGGAGTCTCCTTTGGCATCCGAAAGCTCTACATGAAAACTTTGTTAAAAATCTTTGCGGTAAGTTGTGCTGTTTACAAATGGTTGCTTCACGGAGGATGGAGGAAATGCTGTTATTAGTAAAGAGTTTTTCTTACCTGGCAGATTATTATCTCTCTATTGCATACGGAGAAAATTGGGAGAATGGGAAGTAGCATTTTTAGTAAAAAAAAAAAAAAAAAACTTCCCTAAATGTGTACTTGTGAAAGCCTTTAGCAGACTTTCTTTTCGAGCTAAGGTCCTTGTATGCTTGATTCTTCTGAGCAAGGGAACCTATTCCATAACTCCACACCTTGCCTATTTATAATTTCAAAGAGAGGGGCTTAGAATTTAAGAAAAAATCACTGCCAGACTCTGCCTCTGCTTATGTAGCAGATAATGAAACACGGAGCTGCTGCTCACATATTCCCTCACTAATAAGTTTGGGAGAGACTTTTCTCTTGTTTAGACTTAAATATCTTAAATAGATTCTTGCATTTCAGACAGAAGAAATTAACAGGGCAGGGCATTTGGTGAATTGTTTTATTTTCTTAGAGACAGGAGAAGGACAATCAATTTCTTAACATATGTCAGAACTTAGCTAATTATACCGCTGAACAAAACTGGCCACAGTGTAAAGGAACCGTTCCTGGAAGTTGATTTTTGCCACAGGACTTTTAATATCTATCCAGAGAGTTGGTACTTTATTAGCAATATCTGTGTTCAGTAGTCACCAAATCTTCAGTTATTCTTGTTCATAGCTGAGACCATATATAATTTGAGAAGTCAAAAATTTGAAAAGTTACTTATTCATGTAGTATCTTATGGTTCAGAATAAATTCATTCATTTTCCTTTGGTTCCTTATAATTCTTCAGTGGACAGGGTATCTACATTTTGTCAGTGAAAAAATAGAGACTCTGAAAGATTAAGTGAGCTGTATGAAATGTTACTTTATGGTAGGAAATATTTTTTATGTGTATTATTGAATATTGGGTTTGGGTATTTAATATTCCTGTAAGAATATGATTTTTGTCACATTTAAGAGTGGCATTTATTATATTCACAGTGTTGTACAGCCTTCACCTCTGCCTAGTTCCCTAACGCTTTCATCACTGCAGAGGGAAACCCCACACTCATGAAGCAATTGCCCTCCATTCCCCCCCCCCACCCCGCCACCATGAGTTTATTATGTTCCAGCTCTGGATTTGCCTATGCTGGATATTCCATATTCGTGGAATCATATAAAATGTGCTCTCTTATGACTGCCTTCTTTCATTTAGTGTATTTTTGAGATTCATCCACATTATAACATATTTCAGTACTTTTTTTTAATGGCTGATAGTATTCTATTATGTGTCTGTACCATGATTTGCTTATCCATTCATCCAGTGGCGGACCTGGCTGGGCTGTTTGCACCTTGTGGCTGTTGTCAGTAGTGTTGCTAGAGTGTACCTGTTTGTGTTTGAGTGCCTGTTTTCCGTAGTGTGATTTTTGAGCCCTACGGATGGTCTCTGAGGTTATCTAGTTCCTTCCTACTCGGGGAATAGTATGGATGCCAGCAGCTTGAGTGTCACCTAAGAGCTGGTTAGAAATGGAAGTCTCAGGCCCACTCCACACCTGCTAAATTAGAATCTGCATTGCCGCAAGATCCAGGCGATTCATATGCACACTGAAGTTTGAGAAGTGGTAATCCAGTCAGTCTTTGGACCAGCTACTTTGCTTATATGTAGTATTTCTTTTAATTAATCAGGAAATGTAATTTTCTTAAATTTCAGTCCAAGAAAATCTTCACTGGGGCCCAGGATTCCTGTGGACTGTATAACTTACTACTCATGCCCTTTTGCCACTGTGGAAAACCAGTTAGAGGGTCAGTAGAACAGCTAGTAAACTTTTAGGAGACAACACTGAGTGATGGCTAGCTTTCATTCAGGTTTAGAAGCAAGTGGTTAACTCATAGATCTATGGAAATCCTTATTTTTAAAACGTAGAAATCATAGAGTTATCAGCCTTTTGAGTTATTCTGTAGTAACTAAAGTTTTCTAACTTGAATTGCTTTGGGCCACAGAAGGCCTAGAATCCATGCATATTCTCTATTCCATTTTGAATATCTCCCCCAAATTAATATTTTAAAGTTCATAGTCAATTAAAATCCTTCTAATTGTGACTGTATTTTTAAATTATATTCTTGTGACTTTCAGTGTACATTATAATTACATAGCTGAAATTCATTAAATATATATTGTTGGGCCAATCCGTGGGATAGGTAATATTGGCCCGTCAGAGGCTTTCTTTGCCGACCACATCTTGAAAATCACTAGTTTGAGGCACAGTGATTTAGAAGTGATTATGGAAATAATGTGTGTATATGTGTGTATATTTATGTATGTACCCATTTTTTACCCCAAGATTTAGGATTTCAAGAACTGGATTTACACTTCTTATTTCCTAGAGATGTGTACATCAGGCACTAAAAGGGTTCTGGGTACTCTGGGTGCTGTCCTGTTGAGCTGCCTGGATAATTACAACTTGGCTATAAGCTAGAGTCAGGGGTAGGCTAGAAAGGACCGATACCATTCCAGCAAGGTTATAGGTGGCTCTGCAAGAATGTCTGGTCTTTTCTGACTCTATTACTATTCTGAGTTGACCTTTAATGGACAGTAAGAACTGAATGCTATATATATCATCATTAGTATTAGACACAAGTTGGATTTGGCCAAACTGGTTTTATTTTTTTTTTTTTAAAGATTATTTGAGAGAGAGAGAATGAGAGAGAGCACATGAGAGGGGGGAGGGTCAGAGGGAGAAGCAGACTCCCCACCGAGCAGGGAGCCCGATGCGGG